GACAGGTCCGCCCGTAGAGTACGGTAGACAAGACTTGCCTATCGAAGAGGCGAGCTCATCCGCGGGTCGAGGTTTACCGTGTCCGAGCAATACTAGCGTGAACGGGGCCACTTTGCCGAAGGACTTACGGCGGCCTCAGCAGGCCACAAGCACCATCCTACTTAGGGCGGGGACACCAGTACCTCAGCATGTGCACCGATGGCCAAGAGGTCGCTTGGAGGTGGATAGTCGGCATGCGTGGCATCGCACTACACCTAGGTGATGAGTGGCGTATAACGAACGGCTCTGTGAAAATGACTCGCTTACAATGTACCTGCAGGGTAAATGAACGTTCAGAGTAAGGCCGATTGTCGCAGAGCCCGAGTTTGGAAGGCTGGCGGAGGCCTATCCAGCCTTGGTCTGATGATGTTCACCATTGTACCCGAGCCTCCGATGACCTGGAACTCCACCGTTTGCTGACCCGAGGGCGGGTGCCCAGATGCAGGGAGGTCGCCTCCTACTCCGACGTGATCTGATAGACATGGCTGGGGTATAGGGCCGGAGGCCCGGAGTATGCGTCTTCCATCGGCATAAAGCAATGGGCGCTTGGGTCGCATTGGCATGACTCAGTCTTCAGGGATGTGCGCGGACCGCCCTGTGCCTCGACAGTTAATTATTGGGTGTTTCGTGCCGGATCACGACACTGTTGAGACTGGAGATCAGCATTAGGTACGTCCAGGGTCGAACGTGAAGAACACACCAAGCCAGAAATGTCTTTGACCAGTCTACGCACACAAGTTGCCATCTTGGTGATCGATGCTTTTCTGCGATCATTATGATACAGTCAGAGTTCAACTGCCCGAACGACCGCGGTTGAGGCGTCACAAACATCCACTAGAAAGTCCGACGCTTGGGCGCACATCTAACAATGCGGCGCAAAGCTATCGGGAAGGCGCATCAAGAGACCGATTGCATCTGAAAAATGCTACTCATTCCTGCATCGATTGAATATTCGTGATGGTCGGTACGGTGCTGATGCGAGCGCGTCGCATGAGAACTACGGTCACCTACTATCATGACCAAGCATTAGCGAGTGTCCAGAGAGAGGCTGATATCGGGCGTTGCGGTGGGTGTACCTTGTAAGGTGGGGATACCATACCTATGTCATAGCTCATCATGCGCTGCGTGAGATTCGCCGAGAACCTGCATTGTTCAATGCATTCGGGCGTGAGGCATTCCACCACGTATTCCAGGACCATAAAGTTCCAGTGGGTATAAATCAGAGCATTCAGCAGATGATAACCGTTCTCACCGCAACAGAAGGACATTGAATGGCGAGGAAGAGAGATGCGACGTGACTGCGGAGGTCGCTGTTGACACCACGGGCGCTTGTTCTCTGACTCTGCCACTTGGAAGCTCAAGCGCCCAAAGTTGGACTTGGCACGCCACGAACATCGGAGATGGGAGAGGTCCTCGCAGGGTCATCGTTGGCAATGGTCTTGCCGCTACATCCGCGCTATTATTCTTTCAAAACCTCAGACCAGGCCATACCCTGTCAATGCCATACCATTCCTGCAAATGTGTCTGGAATGGTCTCTGTCAGTATTGTTTCTGCGATGGGACTGTTGTTGCAATGTTCACCGACTAGCAATGCAGCTGTCCATCACTTTGACTGTCCCGAATGGGTCGCAGCTGGGTCGGAGGCTCCTCCGCAGCGAGCGGTTGATGCGTCCTGTCGGCCTTCGCAGGATGAAACGACGAGAAGTGTCTCGACAGTGCAATACTAACTCAACCGGTTGACTGTCACTCCTCGTATGTTCCTGGGTAGGTAGAATGATGACTTGTTGCCCATCAACGAATCACGCAGATACGCAGTGCCGGCTTCTGAACCGGGACGCGTCCTAAGGCGGCGCATGGACTAGCCGTTGGACGACTGGTACCCGTCCCGCAAAAAATCCCACGTTTATCGGATGGTCGGCCTCTATAACCAAATTCAGCGATTGATGGATGTTAAGCGTCAACCGCAGTCAAGCGACCGGCGTGCCTGGCCAGTGGTTAACCGACGCCCTTCTCCGCTGAGCCTGCGGCGACGCGAAAGTTGCTCTCTGCGGGAACTTCTCCGATTCTCTCACTACGCGCTCTGACGGCGATGACGCTTACGTTTGTTCCAGCTCGGGAACGGACACTGCGGGTCCGTCCAGACGCCTCAAAATGTACGACATATAAACACTGCCGCTTCTCTGCCTCGGACTCCAACAGCGTATATCCGCCCCTCCGCTACAAACGTTCCTTCGCAGAGCTCGTGTTCTTCCCTTCTTGAATCGGTTCAACATGAGCAAGTTCCAATCTTTGGTGGCTTTTGTCGCTCTTTGCCTCTCGCACAGCCGCCTCGTCGCTGGTGCGATTGGACCCGTCGCGGACTTGACCATTTCCAATGCGGATATCACTCCCGATGGATTCACTCGTTCTGCCGTCGTCGTGAACAACCAGTTCCCTGGTCCGCTCATTACGGGTAACAAGGTTCGCTTTCCTGCATACTCACCTATCTATGACGGGCAATGCTCATATCATCTCGTACTAGGGCGCAAACTTCCAGCTCAACGTCATCGACAATCTGACCAATGACACCATGTTGACTGCGACCACCATTGTATGCACGTTTTGAATAGTGCAGTTATTCACCTCGTTACTAATTCACATATTTTGCCTTCAGCATTGGCATGGTTTCTTCCAGAAGGGCACGAATTGGGCCGACGGTGGGGCATTCGTCAACCAGTGCCCCATCTCCGAGGGCAACTCCTTCCTGTACGATTTCTCAGCGCCTGACCAGGCCGGCACGTTCTGGTACCACAGCCATTTGTCGACGCAGTATTGCGATGGTCTCCGTGGACCGATAGTAGTCTACGACCCCAGTGACCCCCACAAATCGCTCTACGACGTTGATGATGGTACGTGCACATTTAAGTGTCACTGCTGTTTTTTGTTCACAAGTGTCTCGTAGATTCCACCATCATTACTCTGGCGGATTGGTCGCACACTGCTGCCCGCCTCGGGCCTCGTTTCCCCTTCGGTGGAGACTCCACGCTCATCAACGGGCTTGGTCGTTTCGCCGGTGCCACCACCACCGCCGACCTCGCCGTCATCACCGTCACGAAGGGCAAGCGGTACCGCTTCCGCCTGGTCAGCCTGTCGTGCGACCCGAACTTCACCTTCCAGATTCAGGGCCACAGCCTGAGTGTCATCGAGGCCGACGCTGTTAACGTCAACCCAGTCACTGCGGACTCCATCCAGATCTTCGCCGGGCAGCGCTACTCGTTCGTGCTCAATGCCGACCAGGACGTCGGTAACTACTGGGTCTGGGCAGTTCCGAACATCGGTACCGTCTCCGTCTCTGGTGGTGTTAACTCTGCTATCCTGCGCTACGACGGCGCGGACCCCGTCGAGCCTGACGCAGCCGATCCCAGCAGCTCCAACTTGCTGCAGGAGACGAGTCTCGTGCCGCTCACCGACGTCGCTGCTCCCGGTACTGCTGTCGTCGGCGGCGTTGACTACGCCCTGAACCTCGATTTCAGCTTCGTGAGTTTCTTGCTTATCACTCTTATCATAGCGGGCGCAACTGACAGCGCTATCCAGGACGGCACGAACTTCTTCGTCAACGGCGCTTCCTTCACCTCCCCTACGTTGCCGATCTTGCTGCAGATCATGAGCGGTGCGCAGAGTGCGGCCGATCTGCTCCCCAACGGCAGCGTCTTCGCTCTCCCGGCGAACAAGGTCGTCGAGCTCTCGTTCCCCATTACCGCCACGAACGCGCCCGGTGCCCCCCACCCCTTCCATCTTCATGGTGTACGTCCTGCCCTTCATATACTTTGATATTCTGCATGATACTCACGTTCTCCACAGCACACCTTCCACGTCGTGCGCAGTGCTGGCAGCACGGATTACAACTTTGTCAACCCCCCTCAGCGCGACGTTGTTAGCACCGGTGCTGCGGGCGACAACGTCACGATCCGCTTCCGCACTGACAACCCCGGCCCCTGGTTCCTCCACTGCCACATCGACTTCCACCTCGAGGCTGGCTTTGCCGTCGTCTTTGCTGAAGACATCCCCAACGTTGCCTCGGCCAACACGCCCTCTTGTACGTCTTGTTCTGTCTCCGACGTCAGGTAGCATGCGACTGACGACCTCTTCACAGCTGCCTGGAGCGCGCTCTGCCCGACGTACAGCTCCGTCTACCCCAACGGCCTCGAATAAATGCTCTATCTGGCCACACGCCATCGGACTCTGCAGAAGAAACAAACTCCCAGATCATACATCCTCAAACTCGCTCTTTTTCATAGTAGATAGCATACGTTCATTTAGGGTCTATGGCTTTTGAACATGGACGGTAATTAGTAACAACTGCGCAATGCATAGCTAGCATCGGTTCCCTTTTTTTCGCTCCACGCTCTCGTCAGTCGTGCTCCGGGAGATGAGAAGATCGGACTAGTGTGTATGTGGGGTGTTGTCGTCAGTCACTCATTGTACTATTCTTATTGTACTATCTTTTAGATCAATACACCCTCGCCTTCACTATTTACGCACACTGACCTGACGTTGCTGCACATCCATTGGATAGTTCTCGATGTTGGGCGCAGACAAACTTCCGTACTTAGAAGACAGATGCAAGCACGATGGGCAAAGCCCCAGAGCCAGACGTACTAATAATCCTCTCCTGATGAGACCTTCCGCATCCGCATAAATATGTTCTAGTTCGATCCCGGTTCGAATGATCTTTATGTCCTGTGTTTTTACGGTTCGACCAGGGCACTGGCACATATACCACAGTGTATATATTTACGCGACGACAGACTTTCACGACGGGCCGAGAGCTCACATTCTTTGTGACAATGGAAATCTTGCGTTTCCGAGTGCAAGAAAGTGTTTGACAATGTATCGAAGTAGGTCACAGGCTGTGGGGCTTTACCGTGAAGGAGTCTGTCGGTGTGCCCTAGTCGAACCGTAGAAACATAAGACTAAAAAGATCCTTCGAACCGGGATCGAACCAGTGACCTTGGGATGCCCGAATTATCCGATTACAGTCCCACGCTCTTCCAACTGAGCTATCGAAGGTGTGGTGGTAGTTGCCTAGCAAAAGGCTATAATTTGAGCCGCAAGGTCCCGGCCCGTACCTCGCGATGTTGATGGGTATGGAGGACGGTCAACTGACTTGCTACTGACTTGCTACTGACGACGATGATTATGCCCCCGTTTTTCCTATGGTACATGGCAGACACCTTCCTAATTGCGGTCGTATGGCATCTTAAAAACTTGCAAACCAGAGCAACGTTGATGATATTGAACTTCACACTTCATCCAGGACCCGCTCACGACGACGCCTCACTCTACTCAGCATGTTGATGGTGCACTCAATCATGTCAATGAAGTTCTCTGTGGACATTCGAATCGCCTCAATCACGGCATGTGACAACAAAGCTGGTCATCCCCCCAAGGAACGATCATGACGAACTCATCCTTCGAGGACATTAAAGCTCGCTGTCCTGGAGCTGGGCCTTGCACAGTTCGACTCGGACCTCGTTCACGCCAGCGACCCTTTCGACATGAGCGATTCTGTACGGCTCTTCCGAGTCCTCGCGATAGCCGCTGCCCTTCACTTTGTGGGGTCGTCCGCGGTCAATGTCTCCCTCCCTCTCTCTCCTCCCTCGCACTCTCAGCCTCTCTCGCGTACCCTCATCTCCTTCTCGCTCGAGCAAGACCGTTGGTCCGACTGGACCGGCACTCACTCTCGCAATGAATTCACGCACACCGCACTCACCAACTACGCCTATCTTACTGGGCAGCCTCCGAAGATCCGGGTCGGCGCAAACTCCGAGGACCACACCTTCTGGTCCCCAACTACGACCATCGTCGAGGCCGATTTCCCACCCCCCAACACGGTCACGCCCTATCCAGAGGCGACGCACATCGTTGTCGGGAACAAGTACTACGAGCTGTCTCGTCACCTTCCTCGCGGCACGCACATGACCTGGGGCATCAACCAGGGCGCCAACAACGTTACAAATGCCGTCAACATGGCGAAGGCGATCGTGCGTGCGTTCCGCACTGTTGCCGTCAAAGCTTCCGGCGTTGTTCTCGACCTGCTTGAGGTTGGCAACGAGCCCGACCTGTTCAAGAATAACGGTCTCCGGCCGTCGAATTGGACTGTGCAGGACTACGTCCCCAATTGGGTCAACATCTCTGAAGCTATCGTGAAGGCAGTTGGCATTACCGGGAACGATGGTCCCATCTCCTTCCAAGCTGCTTCGTTCGCGACACGGAACTGGACACCCCGTCAGATCTTCGACCTGGGCATTCTGGACAGCGTGCCTGGGAAGACTGTCTCGGTGTAGGTCGTCCTTTGTTCTCGAACGACCAGCAGAGCGCTCACGTTGCTGCAGGATTTCCCAGCACCAGTACTCCGCCGCGTTCTGCAATGGCGGCGACTTTCCCCTTACTTCTTTCATGAGCAAGACCGCCGTCCGCGGTAACTTGACCACGTTCGCCGCGGACATCGCAGCGACCAAGGCTCGCGGGCTGAGATACATACTCGGGTATGTCGGGCATACGCGCGCTCCATATAAACGTCTTGCTGACAATCTCTATCCAGCGAGACCAACAGCATCGCTTGTCACGGCGCACCCGGAGTGAGCAACACCGCCGGTGCCGCTCTCTGGACGATCGACTACACCCTCCAAGCCGCATCGCTAGGTATCGAAGAGGTCGTTTACCACGAGGGCATCGGATTCAAGTACAACTTCGTCCGTACCTTCCTCATTACCCTCTAGCTCTTACTTGCACTGACACGTTCTCCTCACCGCCCCAATAGTTCCAACCCGTCTCCCTGAACCGCTCCACGATCGACGGCTCGCCCCTGGACCCGCCTGTCGCACCGCACATCCAACCTGGATACTACGCTGGCCTCGTCGTGAATACCTTCGTCGGCAAGACCGGCTCGTCGAAGATCGTCGAGCTAAACGTGGGTGACTCGAATGTCGTGGGTTACGCTGCATACGAGCATGGCCGGCTCGCACGGGCACTGTTTGTCAATCTCCACGCATGGCTAGCAAGTAGCGAGGGCGAGCGGCCGAGTGTACACGTCGACTTCGATTTCTCAGAAGACGAGATGGAGAAGAGGGAGGATGAGGCAGAGGAGAATGGGTGGAGGGTGACTGCAAAGCGGCTGGTGATTGAGCATGCGGACGATGTGGAGGGCTTGACTTGGGTAGGTCAGAGCTGGGAGAACAGCGGGATTCGGCCAGGGGGAAGACTTGTGGCAGAACGCGTTCTGTTGAGCGAGGGTGTCGATCTTCGCTCCACGGAGGCTGTCCTCGTTGCATTCTGAATGACCTTCTTGACTGAGCAGTAAGGAGTAGGACAAATGGGGTTCTGTACAGGGAGGAGTTTGGCGTCACTCTCTGTACGGGTATTCCCTTCTTGCAATCTGACAGTGAACAATCGCCGGGAGGTCATATCTGGGACTGAGTATTCATGCGCGTCTTGGGGCACAATTGATCATATGTAGTCAAACAGTGACAACCGCGTCTAACTCTGGTGAGTGTCCTTCACCTGATAGGGAGCGCCGTCCTAACTGACAACCTCAACATCACGTCAAGTCTCCCAATGTGCAGGAATCCACGCCGGCGTTGTTGACGTGAGCGCAGATGAAGTCCGGATTCCAGAACCCGCTCCTACCCTACGCTAGCGCCCATCTCATCTTGTATTTGAGGCTCTCATGGCTACATACAGGAGCCTACAAAGGCATCGTGGACCACCACGGCTCTGCCTCATGCCCCCGCTCGGAGAGATTCGTTTCAGCAAGGTGAGTGCATTCCAGCGTCCCGTTGGCCCTGCTACACGCTTTGTGATATCTGGCACACCGAGGATCGAAACCGCCGACCTCAAGTTTACTCGACATCGACTTTGGGCGCCGGTGATACATGTCGTCTAATCTTTGGGCTCAGCGATCGTTCTCGTCTCGGGACATCGGTTCTCGATGCGGCCGATTGCATTTGAGCGATCTAGGTTGAAGGTGAGAGCTTAGGTAAGTTTAATGTCGCACTGGCCCTTGTCTGCTCATGAGAACGGGAGGCGACTCCGCTATCAGGTTACGCCGTGCTGATGATATACCGAAGGGAGAGAGAAACTCGGAAGGTGGTAGATCTCGGAATATAGGTAAGCCTTGTAGCTTCTTTTTCAATCCGAGTTGACAATGAATATGCGTGAGATCAGAAGAGTGCGGAATTAGTAAATTTCGCTCCTAACTCCGCAACTCCGAGTCGCCAGCTGGTGAGCGGTGGTTTTGTTGCTACGAAACGCTGACAGGTTCCAGTGAGTGCGAGGTGCTTTGACAATGTCTTCTGCTCACGGAATGCATGCCCTCCTGGTGGATTGCCTACTTGGCCACCAGGAGGAAGCGATGATTTCAATATTTCCAGACATTCGCCGGCACCGGCCCATGCCGAGATCCGGTTCAGCGAGGCAATCGGTGTCTGTTGCTCGTGTTCTCGCCACGACGTAACCCTGCAGCAAGTTTGACCCCCGCCGCACTCGCCGCTGGAGGATCAACCCCTTTCGTTCGGCGCATCTCACAGGCTAGGCCAAGCAATCGCAGCTCAATCACGTCCCATGTCGTCTGTACCCTCTTCTTGCTTGTTCCTTCTCTCGCTTCCAATCCAGACAACAACCAGAACATCTTTGATGATGAGATGCTGTGAGTGAAGTTGTTGTGATTGCCCCGCTACGGCCATAGGACTGCCCGTTGCAGTATTAGCGCCGGTGGTATCTTTATCGGCATGGCGCTGCTCATCGCTTGCAGTGTGTCTTCTCAATTACCTACCTCTCCTCCGGCCACGGGAGATGATGCATTGTATCGCCTTATAGCGACTAAAACTCTGCCTTAAATTGCGCTCGCCATGCAAAGCGTTCTCAAGGACCCACCCTACCCACTTTCAACCATGTGTCGCTCGTCACCATGCCTCTTCCTCGTGGCTGCTGTCCTGGGGCTGGCTGGCCCGTGCGCATCCACACTGAACGTCGCAATTCCCGCCAAGGCTCCCTCAAACTCGGAACCGCTCTCTTCGACTCTTGTCTCGTTCTCGATAGAGCAGGATCGCTGGCCGGACTGGACTGGGGTGGACGTGCGGAACGAGTTTACGTTCAACGCCCTCTCGAATTATGCTGCGCTCACCGGGAAGCCTCCAAACATCCGCGTCGGTGCCAACTCGGAAGACCACACGACCTGGTCTCCGACGGAGACCCTTGTCGAGGACGTCTTCCCCACGCCGAACAGGATTGCCCCATATCCGGAAGCGACGCGCATCACCGTCGGAGACAATTACTACCAGCTCTCCCAATACCTCCCACCAGGGACGCATATGGTCTGGGGAGTCAATCTGGGCGCGAACAACGCAACTAATGCCGTCAACATGGCAAAGGCGATTGTTAGGTCGTTCGACGCGGCCCCGGTGAAAGACTCCGGTATTGTCCTGGACCGCATCGAAGTTGGCAACGAGGCTGACCTCTACACCCATAATGGCCTTCGCCCGAAAAATTACACTGTCAAGCAGTACGTCAGCGAGTGGGAACACATCGCGGGTGCGGTCGTGGACGCCCTCTCGATATCCGGGCGTAATAGCTCCATCACGCTTCAAGGGGCCGCGTTCGCCAACCAGGGGTTCACTCCTCGCCAAATTTACAGTCTCGACATCCTCAATAGTACGCCCGGAAAGGCAGTATCTGTGTAAGTACTCCTATGCCGGTGTCGTGCAATCTTGGCTATCACTGAACCATCGGGCATAGCATTTCTCAGCACCACTACCAAGCCCACTTCTGCAAAGGGGGCCACTTCTCGCTCGCGTCGTTTATGAACAAGAAGTCCATTCGCTCGAACTTGACCATATTCGAGAAAGACATTACCGCAACCCGCGCGCAAGGACTGGGATATATCCTTGGGTACGTATCTCCAGCCGCTGTCCGCATGGTTTTCGCATGTTAACCCCATATAAAAAGCGAGACTAACAGCATCGCGTGCCACGGCGCTCCGGGTGTGAGTAACACCGCCGGCTCTGCCCTTT